TCTCTCTCTCTCTCTCTCTCTCTCTCTCTCTCTCTCTCTCTCTCTGCCATTTTCTGCCATGTGAGACCCCTGCATTGTTATAAATCCACCACCAAGGAAGACCCTCACCAGATGTGTTCCCTGGACTTTGGACTTTCCAGCCTCCGAAGCTGTAAGCAATAAAATTCATTTTCTTACAAATCACCCAGTTCCAGGTATTTTCTTATAAGCAACAGAAGCAGACTAACACACACACACACACACACACACACACACACACACTCACTGTGCTCATGCACACCAGGCACACTCCATTCTGTCTCTTCCTCTGGAATGTTCTCCCTTCTCTGCCCACCCATCCTACATGCTCTGCAACACCAGCCCCTGAAACCCCTTGGGATCCGTCCAACACAAAGTCCTCCGCCACTTTGGTGAAAACTCTCAGCACTATTTTTTTTTTAACCAGAGCTACTACTTCCTGCCTCCTTTGACAGTTGTGAGCCCGTCTGGCTGCCCACCCCTCTGGACAGTAAGCTCTGTGAGGAAAGACCCTGTCTTCTGAGGCCTGCCCTCACTGGCCATGACAGATCACATATGATTTTGGGACCACGCGAGAGTTTGCCACCTGCACATCTTGTCCAGGCTTCTTCCTCTCCCTGGAATCCTTTTCCCATCCCCACCCCTGCCTGTCTGGTGAATTTCCTAGCCTAGCACGACCTCTCATTCCTTGTGGCCCACAGATTTCTGTCGCTGGTATGTGACATTGTGTTGCGCCAGTGTGTTTATGTACATGTGAGACCCTGATGGTGGGACCTTGTCTAGTTCATTAGTATGGTGCCTGGCCCACAATACGTGCTTAGTAAATGACCGCTGGGTGAACAGAGTGTACTGCTAAGGCCAGCCTCCCTAGCATCAGTGTCTGCTGCTGTTAGACTCTCCTGGGGGGCGGGCAGGGCAGCGGCCAGTGCAGGGGCTGTCCACAGAGGCACTGAATGGTGAGCCAAAGCAGGCAGGAGACTGCAGGCTCTAAGTCACCCACGGAACTTCATCTTAAATGGCCGGCACGGCGTGCATCTCCTGAGGAGTGGCTGGCAGCCAGGAGTCAGGCTAGAACGGGGGTGGAGAGGTGAGAAAGAACAACGGATCCACATGAATCTGCAGTGAGTGAGGTTCTCTTGGGCCTTGTGCTACAAAACGAAACAGAAGGACGGCTGCCAGTTACAAGCGCAGATCAAGACNATCGCTGTGAAATTTAAATTGGCCAAAGATGTCAGCACTTCTGTGTTGCTCTGATGGCCACGAGAGAGCACATCCTGCAGAGCCTTCTGGAGGCAGCGTGGTTTCTTTGAAGTTGAATTTTTTATCTTAAAAGAAATCTATGCGTATTTTGCATTCTATTACTTTTTCTTTCATGTTTATTAATATAGAAATGTTTTTCTGCAAAAGCATTGAGAAAATTTTAATGAGGAAGGTGTGCCAAAATTACCCCACATGTGGCCCCTCCAAATCCAACACAGCCCAGGTCAGCCTCTGCAGTTTGAGCAGTGCTCATAGGCCTGGGACTCAGCACTCCAAAATGTCACTCCCTTCCCCTCACTGTGCCCCCGATCCTAACTCCTCCAACACACACACTACCTTGGGTTGAATGTCCCCCCAAAACTTGATCCCCACTGTAACTCTTGAGGGTGGGAAACCCTATTATCGTAATTGAAAGGTGGGGTCTTGAAGAGGGGATTAAGCTGTTGGTTTAATGGTGGTTGTGGGCGTGGTTCTGGGAGACTTAAAAGGAGAGCACATGAGTCTCTCTCTCTCTCTCTCTCTCTCTCTCTCTCTCTCTCTCTCTCTCTCTCTGCNTCTTAAATGGCCGGCACGGCGTGCATCTCCTGAGGAGTGGCTGGCAGCCAGGAGTCAGGCTAGAACGGGGGTGGAGAGGTGAGAAAGAACAACGGATCCACATGAATCTGCAGTGAGTGAGGTTCTCTTGGGCCTTGTGCTACAAAACGAAACAGAAGGACGGCTGCCAGTTACAAGCGCAGATCAAGACAACTGTAGAAAGGCTGTTTTGTCTCAGTCCAGTCTCCTGTCACTCCTGCTCATCCACTGCAGGAGTGGGGCAGCTGTGACACTGAGGAAGTCTCCTGTGAGAACCTCTAGTAAGAACAGCAGTCCTGAGGAAAGGAGGTTCCTAGCTCTGGCTGGGAGGCAGGGGTTGGGGGCAGTGCTACAGGGGACACCCCGTTGGTTTGGGTGACCACCACCACGACTGCTTTCCAAACCAAATCTGGGACATGTAAAATGACAAGTGCAGGTGTATTTGGAAGAACAGCACGTTGGAACACAGGAACCGTCATGCTTCACTTAATGAAGGGGACACGTTCCAAGAAATGCATCATTAGGCGATTTCATGGTTGTGCAAACAACACAGGATGTACTTCCACAAACCTAGATGGTCTAACCTACTACTCACCTAGGCTATATGGTACACCCGCTGTCTGTCTATATGTGTCTGTATGTGGTCCGTTGACTGAAAGGTCATGCGGCCCTGTGACTAACAACATATGAAAGGGGTCTAGCCCGGAGCCTTTTCTAATCCTCTTATCTTAAAAAAATGGATGCAGGAGGGTGCTGTTTGGTGAGCTCACTTAGAGCACTGTGTTGGTAACACCGAGGTCAAGGGTTCAGATCCACCTACCAGCCACCTGCCAAAAAACACAAACAGGGCTGGCTGCTTAGCTCAGCTGGATAAGAGGGTGGTGCTGGTAAAACCAAGGTCTGGGGTTCGATCCCTGCACCAGCCAGCCACCAGAAGAAAAAAAATGTAAACTTTGATGAAAACATAAATAGAAGGTAATTTTCCTAGTAAAACATTTAAAAATCACCTTTTGCCATTTCTGCATAGTTTGTGGGGGATCTGTTCACATCTACACCACAGCCACTACTGAATTCAACTTGCCACTGGATTCCAGAGCCTCTCCTTTCTGGCAAAG